TGTGAAGACTCTAAGCTGACCCTGTGCTCCATGTGAAGCATCCTCTGGGGGGCCCTGGGAGCTGACAGTGTTGGCTGTCACAATGCCATTGTCCCTTCTGTGGGTGACTCTAGACTGTGAGCTCTAGAGGTTGGTAAGGGTAAGATTTGTGGGTGTGGAACGATGCCCTAGGGCGGCAATTCGGGACAAGTTTCCAAAGGTCTGCAGACTAGAGTTTGAGTTCTGGCTGCACCACCTCCAGCTATTGGTTCCCCCTGCACCTTAGTTTCCTAGTCTACAAAACAATGCCTGATGATAGGCCTGTTCTGAGGATTAAATAATGTGATGCACATAAAGACCTGAGCATGGTGCCTGACATGTCATAGCACTCAAAAATGGTAACTATTTCCGCTAGGTATTTAGCGTCAAGGTCTTCCAGCTGGAGGAGGATGCCATGTATGTGCCAGACCCTCTACAGGGAGCTTTCTGTACTTTAGCTGATTTCGTTGTCATAACAGCTGCAATGAGGCCTTTTATTATCCCTATTTTATAAACGAGGTTCCTGTGGCTTAGGAAGATGAGGTTATTGCTCAAGGTCCCATGACCCAAAGTAGTAACAAGTCTGATTTCAGTTACTATAGGTTTCACAGAATGTTTGCTGGCTTGACATGTTTATTTCTCTTAATATCTTGGGCAACATAATGGGATGCGGGCAAGGAAAGAGAAGGAAGAATCCTGATGGAAATCGTATCAGAAATTTGCTGCCTGGCTCAGACACGGTCTGAAGATCTCAGAGTTCAAGGTTGTCAGATTTAGCATCTGTCTATCTAATAACCTGTCTGTCTATGTGTTTATCTATCCTCTCTCTCTGCAGGTGGAGTGGGGAGGGGATGCTTCAGGCAAACTAGTAAGTGCTTAGGGAAGAAAAATGGAGTGGGATCATATGAGCTTAAAAAGTCCTGTAGCTTTGCTAGCATACCCTTTCTTGTCGGGGACAGGGAAACCTCTAAATCTGAAGTTTTGCCTAGGGAAATGTAGGTAAAGAGCATTTACTTATCAGTCATGAAAGAGCCTTATGAGCCATTTTTAGAGGATTAGCCTCAGTCCAGGGTGGGGTTAGTGCCAAGAAGGTTCAACATATGAAAATCAGTCAATATAATACACTTCACTAACAGAACTCAGGACAGAAACCACAGGACTATCTCAATTGAGGCAGAAAAGACATTTCTCAAAAGTCACCATCCTTAAATGATAAAAACTTTAAACAAACTAGGAATATAAGGAAACTGCCTCACCGTGGTAAAGGCCATATATGAAAAGCCTGCAGCAAACATTATACTAAATGGGGAAAAACTTAGTGTTTCCTCTCAGATCAGGAATAAGGCAAGGGTGCTCCCTCAGTGCTTCGATCCAGCATAGTACCGGAAGATCATGCCAGACCGATGAGGCACGTGCTATAGACTGAAAGCCTGTGTCCTCCCCAAATTCTTATGTTGAAACTGAAGCTTTAGTGTGATGGTATTTGGAGGTGGGGCTTTTGGGAAGTGATTGGGCCATGAAAGTGGAGCCCTCATAATGAGATTAGTGCCTTTATGAAAAGCCCCTCGGAGAGCGCCCTTGCATCCTCTACCATTTGAGGACACAGCAAGGAGAGAGCCATTCATAAACCAGGAAGTGGGTCCTTCTTACCAGACACCAAGTCTGCTGGTGCTTTGATCTTGGACTCTCAGCCTCCAGAACTGAGAAATACATTTCTGTTGTTCATAAGCCACCCAGTCTCTGCTGTCTTGTTAAAGCAGCCCAGACAGATTAAGACAGCAAGGAAAAGTTACAAAAGGCATCCTAATTGGAAAGGTAAAAGTAAAATTACCCTTGGGTGTAGATGACATGGTCTTCTCTCTCTATATATAGGAGACCCTATAGATTCCACACCAAAAAACTATAAGTAGTAAATGGATTCAGCAAAGTTGCAGGATACAAAACCAACACAACAATCAGTTGTGTTTCTATCCAGTGACAGTAAAAAATCTAAAAAGGAAATTAAGAAAACAATGCTATTTGCAATAGCATGAAAGAGAATAATGTACTTAGGAATAAACTTAAACAAGGAGATTAAAATCTTATATACTGAAAACTATAAATCATTCTTGAAAGAATTAAAGAAGACACAAATAAATAGAAAGTCATCCATGTTCATGGATTGGAAAAGTTAATACTGTTAAAATGTCCATAGTACTCAAGGTGGTCTATAGATTTAATTCAATCCCTATCAAAATCTCAGTGGCATTTTTCACAGAAATAGAAAAATTCATCCTAAAACTCATATAGACTATTAAGGGAACTCAAAATAACCAAAACAGTTTTGAAGGAGAGAACAAAGTGAGTCTCACTCTTCTTGATTTCAAAACACTTTACAAAGCTATAGTAATCAAAACTGTGGTATTGGCATGAAGGCAGACATACAATTATGGAACAGAATAGAGAGCCCAGAAACAACTCCCAGTCCATGTACTCAAATGATCTTCAGCAATGATGCCAAGAACACTCAATGGGAAAAGGACAGTCTCTTCAGCAGTGGTGTTGGGAAACTGACTATCCACATAAAAAGACTGAAGGTGGACCCTTACATTACCCCATGTACAAAAATGAACTCAAAATGGATTAAAGATCTCGATGTTGGACCAAAATTACAAAGCATCTAGAGGAAAACACAGAGGAAGTCTTTATGACGTTGTGCTTGGCAATGACTTCTTGGACATGACACTAAAAGCACAAGCAACCAAAGCCAAACTAGACAGATGGGACTACCTTGGACTTAAAAATTGTGCAAAGGACAATCAACAGAGTAAAAAGTGAACTATGGAATGGGATAAACTATCTGAAAATCATTTATCTGATAAAGGATTATTATGCAGAATATATAAAGAACTCCCACAATTCAACAACACAACAAATAACTTGATTAGAAAGTAGACCAAGAACAGATATTTCTCCAAAATGATATACTCTACTGGTCAACAAGCATATGAAAAGGTGCTCAACATCATTAATCATTACAGAAATGCAAATAAAAACCACAAGGAGATATTACCTCATACCCAACTATAAAACAAACAGGAAATAATGTGTTGGTGAGGCTGTGAAGAAGCTGGCACCTTTGTGCACCGTTGGTGGCAATGGTGCAGCCACTATGGAAAACAGTATGGAGGCTCCTCAAAAAATTGAAAATAGAATTACTATATGAATTAGCAATCTCACTTCTTGGTATATATCCAAAACAACTGAAAGCAGGACCTCGAAGAGATATTTGCATATTCATGCTGATAGCAGTATTATTAAGCCAAGATGTAAAAGCAACGTCAATGTCCATGAAGAATGAATGGATAAGCAAAATGTGGTATGCACACACGATAGAATGTTACTCAGCCTTAAAAAGGAATTCCTGTCACATGCTGCAAATGGATGAGCCTTGAAGACATTATGCTAAGTGAAATTTGACAGTCACAAAAAAGTCCTGCATGATTTTAAAAATATTTTATATATTTCTATGAGGTGTCTAAAGTAGTCAAGTCCACAGAAACAAAAAGTAGAATGGTGGTTGCTGGGGGGGCCAAGTGGAGGGTGAAATGGGGGTTAGTATTTAATAGGTATAGGGTTTCAGGTTTGCAGGATGAAATAGTTGTGGAAATCTGTTGTATAACACTATAAATATAGTTTACTGAACTATACATTTAAAAATAATTAAGGTGGAAAATATTATGTTGTGTATGTGTTTTTTTTATAACATTAGAAATAAAAATATTCTGGCAAAGACAACAAAGAAAAAGAGAAAAAGGATACTTGAAACAAATGTGGCAAGATCTTGTTAATTTTTGAACCTGGTGATGGACACATGAGGCTGACTGTATTTTATCTACTTTTTTGAGTCCATGTTTGAATTTTCGTAATGGAAAACAGGGGCCCCAGAGGGTATTACATTTAGGATCTTAAGGACCTGGCACTTGTGTTGGTGATGTTTGATTTACTTTGAGAACATTAAAAGCTATTTTGACTACTATATACATAAAGCCTTAGTAGATGGGCTGAAAAGTTGTTAATAAAGGAAATAAAGTTGTGTTTCCTGTTTCACAAGAAAAAATTTAAAAAATGGTCAAGGAGAAAATGTACCTGAGTGATAAAAATTTCTTACTCCAAAGACAGCCAGCCTATGTGACCTCATGGGAGAAGCCTGCGTCCCAGTACGCGTCCTCACAGCCTCATAGAGCAAGGGCGTGGTGCATGGAGGCCAGGACACTCTGTTACCCGCTGGCCTGCCTTGCTTCACTGTGACCTCTGATCAGCTGATTCTCCCACATGGCTACACAGCCAGAGAGGGCAGGGCTCTTCCCCAGCCCTCGCACAGGGAGGCAGGGCAATGACTGCATGATGATTAGGTAAGGGTGGAAATGTGACACGCCTTCTCCTCTGGTCCAATCCACTCTTCATGAAAAGCAAGTGAGGGGTAATCATTTTCTCCACAATGAGCAGTTATTAATGATGTCCATCGTGGTGGTGAGGAACAAATGCTGTAAAATACAGGCTGGGTTGTTGGAGGGGAGAAGGGACTTTGTGTGGGTGGGGAGAAGGTTAAGTGCAGGGGCCCTCAAGGGGCAAGGTCACCCAGAGCCTCAGAAACTCCCGCATGTCTTCGAGCATCTAATTCAAGTCCCGCTTCGTGACACACATGCCTTCCTCCTATTTCATCCTCCACTGCATTTCTACTTATTTGATCATCTGCCCCATTTCTATTGCAGTTAATGCTTCCAAACATATGTGATTACATGAATATGTCCTGAAGCTGTGTGTCCTGTCTCTTAGACAAATGCTACCCTGGAAAATGGCCCACAGAGCTGGAGTGTAGTGGGGTGGAGGGGCGGTGCCATGTGTGAAGAGCAAAACCCATCCAAACCTCCCATGCTGCTCTGTGCTGATCGCAGAAGCAGTCACCAAGTACTGGTTGAACTGAACAGAGAGACACTTACTCCGTGGGCCTCGTCGGGTCATCACGCTCAGGGGCTGAGTGTCCGAATCTTCTGAAACGGGCTCCTGGTTGTTCGGGTGGGATTCTTCCGACACCATCTCCTGGGGACTGCCAGCCAGTAGCTGTGGGCAGATGGTCAGAGGCTGTGACTCCCAGGGCTTCAGTTGACTGAGATCCTATCCTGGCATGAGGTGGGTCATTAGGCAGGGCCAGGCCTTCATACTATCCAGACCTAGATAACTGGCCCCTGTCACCTGTGTCAGGGAAGCAGTGCCACTCCGGAGTTTCTCCAAGAGGTTTCTAGGGAAATTTCTGAGGCTCCCACATTAAAATGAATAGTTTCACTTTTTCTAGGTACAAAGTGTAGCTCTGCAGTAGTTTAGGGGAAAAGGGAAGCAGGGGAGTCACAATCAAACTATTTGGTCCCAGCTCCAAGTTATTGGAAACAACTGTTCAAGTGTCCCTGGAAAATCCAGGACAAAAACAGCCTCCCCAAACTCTCACATGAGGGGAGGCAGGTGAGCAGAGGTGGCAAGGGAGGCCACAGCTGAGTGATGGCCTCTGGGGCCGGACAGAGGCTTGCCTGGGATCTCAGAGTCACGACCCGGCTCTGGGCGAGCTGTTACCTTCCTCCCTTCCTCCCTCCCGCATCTGCGAAAGGAGGGAAACAGACCCAGCCCACTCTTAGCCCTGGGGTGTATCAGGCCCCAGGCAAAGTGCAGACACTCTGATTTAAATAAATGGCCTGGGGTGGACCTGAGGCATCTAATTAAAAAAAAAAATCCCCCAAGTGCCGCCAGGGTTAAGAAGCACTATTTTAGATTTCTTGCGTGGCCCGAAAGACTGCTTTGTTGTCTGTGATCAGGGAAAAATGAATGAGATGGTGTCTAGTAGTGCGTCACATTCCCCTCTCCATCCTTGCCCCTTTCTACTGTCCCTGGTCACCGTTGCTGGCTGTGCCTGTGGCCCTTGAGCTAGGGACTTGCACTCTTTCTGTCTGCACTGCCCCTGGCTGCAGAGCTACCAGCCGATCCTGCAGGAAAAGGTTAAAGCTCCCTGAGTGGCCGGCAGGACAGGCCACGTGGACGGGCAGTGTCTCCCGCCCCTGGGCCCTTCCTGGGCGGCTCCAACCCAGCTGCTGGAGAAGCAGAAGGTGGCATCCCTGCCCAGCTTGTCCCAGCAGGAGTGCGCTTGGTGAAGGGGGTGCTAAGGGGAGGTTTCCTCCCTCACTTGGGCTCTCCCGGCGTCCTCCCCACTGCCCCACCGCCGCCACCCTCCCCCAGCAGCTACAAGTCTTGGCTGCTGGCTCAAAATGGCGCTTCCCCCGCCCTGCTGGCATCTCCATTATTCCAAGCACACCACCCACCACAAGATCTTCCTGCCTCCCTCCTCGGAGGATGAGGACTTGGGGAATTTATTTACCTTGGGAAGGCGACCTTGCAGGGGGATGCTCCCAGCCAGGAGGGCAATTCCTTAAGAGAGGAGCGCTGGGGGCGGAGGACTGCTGACAGGCCTGGGAGAACCAGTAAGACTGAAACAGGATTGGGGCTTACAGTTGCAGAAAGGGAGATTCCCAAGATTTGTGATCCTGCACTGCCATCTATCGCCGGTCTTAGTTTATGACCTTTGGTGACAACACTAAAATGACTCCTGTCATTTCTAGACTTCTTCCAGGGGATGGGAAAACCTTGGAGGAAAAATGCTCCAGGGACTGACCATGGTCTCAGTGTGACCATCATCTGTAAGGCCCTACACAGGGTCCTGTATGCCAGACCATCCTACCCACATCCCTGCAACTGTGGGCTGTGGGCACCCACAGGACGATGTGTGGCCCCTTGTGGGCACAGACAGGTTGTCAGCCAGCAGCCCCGCAGGCAGACGGACACACATTTCTTACCACTCCATACCCGTTTCTTTCTTTTTTGTCTTGGAGCCTTGGAGATCTTCTGCCTTCCCACATCTGCATCCTCATCATTTTCAGTGAACTCCTTGTAAAAATGCAAATGGGAGAGTCATCACTTGGTATGTCTGTACGTCATAAACAATGGTAAGGGGAGGAAGAGGGGTATGATGTTTAGGTATTGACATAAAAATCACCATCTTGCTCTGGGGCCTCCATCCACTGAAGTTGAGTGTGAATGAAGGGACAGCCAGTGTGATCTAAGGAGCCATCATCACCTACTCTCCTCAAAATTGACCTGTTCTTGAAAAAGTTGTATCCATATTGAAACATTATGAATGAGATGATGTTGGAACTTCCATGGTCCCTAGTTCATGCATAGAATATTTATTGAGTGTTTATTATGTTCTAGGTCCTGGGAACAAAGAGATACACCCTGTCCTCAAAACACAATCTAATGAAGGTCACAAATGAGTGAATCTTCCAGGGCCAGGATGGTCTGGCTCAGAAGGAGCACAGGTTTAGAACAGGCCAATGTCAGTCTTAGTAGGGATTCCAAGGGTTGAGCTTCTCTGTTCCCAGCTAACTGCCAGGTAGAGAATAATGACAAGTACGTGGTGAATCACTGAAGAAGTTTCCATTTAAAGGACATTTTTGCAGCTCTTTTGGAAAAGACGGAAATCCTTTAACAGTGTAAACTTCATTTTCTTTTTTCAGATTACGCTCTGTAAAGTTCTAGTCCTAAAATGTTAGAGCTGAAATTTCTAACATGTTCAAACTTTAAACTTTTCTAGTCCTAGAGTTTTACAAACTGGGTGCAAGCATCTCTGGGTATAAAAGGAGTTGCAAGATAAAGCAGAACCTCTCCCTGGTGCAACAAATTTGAGAACATTTTTTTTCCTAAAGCAAGAATTTTTTTTGTTTTTTATCCTGAAACAGACGTGGAACACAAAAGCATGGATTTTAATGATTTGATGTAAGATTTCAAAGAAATATCATGCAAGGTGCTGAGTTAGCCTCCAACTACATGTCAATGCCCTTGGCCATCAGGGTCAGAGAAGACATGAAGTTTGGTTACAGAGGAGAAAACTAAGGTCCCAACCGGGCAATGGGTGTAACCTGTGTTTTCCTTTGTTGTGGCACCTGATCTCTCTGCCTGATCCTGAGGGTGCTAGCCCATCCTCACTCAGGCCTCGGACCCAGGGCCCACTGGGTAGGGGGTGTTCTTAGCTTGGGAATGACCATCTTAGATTACAAGATGATAATGGTATTTAGGTGTGCAAGTGTGGTTCTTAATTCAAGTCTAAGTTCTGAGTGGCTTAAAATGAATTTGTGAGAAAAACAGGCCATTTTTAAATTTCCAATAACGTTTCATCAATGGAAAACTGTCCAGCAGGACTTCCCATTAGACAGAATGCAAACTCCATGAGGGCACAGGGTTTTGGCCCCCGCTGTATCCCCAGGGAACAGAGGCACATTACATATTTGTCCCCTGAATGAATAAGCAGCTGTCTGTTTCTGTGGCTTGTCCATACAGTTATCTTACTTTTGGTAAATCTGCATGGCTTTAAGAGGGTAATGTATTCCTTCATGCTTTTCAAAATACTCTGCTGAAAACAGTGTATATCTTGGCTTCTCACTCTGTGGTCTCAAGTCAGGGAGCCCTGGAGCCAGAAGAGAAGCAAGGGGTTGAAAGAGATACTTTCTCCTCTGTTTGGAGGCCTAGAGTTCTCCAGAACTTCTCCATTCTAGACGGTGTTTAATTATGTTTTGTACACAATGAGTTAGAAATTGCAGGACTCCATGAGATGGAGGCTTTTCTTAGTGGTTATAATCTACGAATGCTACCGTCATTCTGAATTTCTCTAGAAGTCAATGTGCTTCAACAGGGCTGGAGCCGGTGGTCGGTGGGAACTCAGGGCTGTTGTGTGGCGTTCTTAACGACAGGGTGGCAGAGGCTCCAGGGCATTCCTGCAGAGGTAAACTGCATGAGCCCGGCAGGGCTGCACTTCCTTCGCCCATGTCAGGCAGGCAATAAATGCTTGCTTCTCACCTAATTTCCCTACGCACAAACACACCCCTAGAAGACATCCAAACAACACTTACCTCTGTAATTATTTTTACTTTTTCTTCCTTGGGATTCATCTTGGCTGTGGTGGCAGCTCCCTGACGAGAAAGAATAAAGAGGTCAGGCCTTTTGAAACCAACGAAACATCTTTCTTACCATTAGTACATATGGAGATGACCTTGATGGTTCGTGAAGCGTTTGAGCTGAGTAGACATTCCGTCCGCATGGACTCTGTTCCTGTGGAGATGAACCCCAGAGGGAAAGGAAAGATGCCAGACCCTTCCGCCCCCGTGAGCGTGGCTGGGAGCCTGGCTTTGCCGCAGCGGGCGGGACTGAGGGACGCCTCTGCCCTTGCGGTCAGAGACCTGGCTGGGCAGGCAGCCTGGGAGGGATTATATCACAGCACCTCCCCTCCTCTCACAAGCGCACCGTCCCACCCCTCCTCCCTCTCTGCTCTCCACCCTGCTGCTCGCTGCACTGTCATTGCCCCTGAATCTGCAACCTTCCTTGTTGCAACAAACAGGACACCATTTTTCTCAGGCTAGAAATCCTTGACTCCTCTCTGATGCGTGATAAGCCACGAGCAGTCAGTCCATCAGAAATCCTGCCAGGTTAGCCTTCCAATTATGCTGGGATTCCAACCCCTCCGAAGGAGCTCCTCTCTTACCACCCGGGTCAAGCACCATTATCTCTCATGTGGTCTATCAAAAACCTTCATAACTTCTCCACTTCCCTGTACTTTATTGTCTACATTGAGGCCCGAGTGAATTGTTTAAAATTTAAGTGAGGTCATGTCATTCATCCACTCAATATCTTCCAATGACTTCCCTTTTCCAAGAGAATAGAATCCAAACCCTTTCAATGATCTGCACCTGAATCCTCCTGCCTCAGGGATGCTGTTCCCTCTGCTTAGAACTTTTCCAAGATACCTGCACAGCCCTCTCTCTCTGCTGGTTCCTTCGGGACTCCGCTCAGATTCCATTTCATTTCAGAGGTTGTCCCGGAACACTCACAATGCAGTGATGACCCCCGCCCTCCTTAAGCTCCCTAACCACCTTATACTGATTTCTCTTTCCATTGGTACTTATCACCAGTGGATGTTTTCACTTATTTGTTATCACACACATTCCCATTAGAATGTAAACTGAAAGAGGGCAGGAATATTTACCCCTGTTTCCCCTTGGCCTGGGATTATGGCACCCCATGGACATTCAATAAATGTGTATCCAGTGAATGACTAAATCATTGTTTATTGGCTGCATCTGCCACAGCCACAGGCTGGAGCCCTTTCAAACATCATTGTTCTCTTTGGGCTGCCATGAATCTTAAATGAATAAACATGGGGAAAAATACCGGGGCTGACAGGTCATCAGCCCTTCCTAATATCCATGGATTCTGAATCCTAACTGGGACTGGGTCCTCTAAGCAGCTCGCCTGAAGTGTTCAAGGTCTCACTGACAAAAATGGGGAATTTGCATGTTAAAGGGAAACAAAGCATCTGAAATGCTACTGTCTCCCATCTATACCCCCTAACAGGCTACAAAAAATAGATGAAGGGAAACGATAAAAGCAGCTAAGAAAATCAAAGCGAGGAGATAATCTAGAAAGAAGGAGGGGGCAGACAATAAAAATGAAATGCTGACAGACACAAAAGCTCTCTAATAAACAACTCTGGTAATTATGAACAGGAAAAAAAACGTGACATGTTTTTAGTAACGAAAAAAAGATTCTTTCTCAGTAAATTAAGAAAGCTTTTATGTATGAAAGAAGGAAATACAAGTAGAAAATGAAAAATGCAATGGGTTTTTTTTTCTTCTCATTCTTTCCTGATCATTACCTTTGAATGAGAGTCTAAGGAAATCAAATGACATCCAAATATATTTTGTTATGAACATGGTTGCTAAGAAAAGATAAATCAATACTGCCTAACTTTAATATGCAGCTTGTCATCCCCATATGCATTGAGCACTTCTAAATATATTCCTACTGGCAGCATCAAAATAAGAGCCATGATTTACTGCAGACTCACTTTGTTCTGTCTCTCGATGCAAGTTGTCACAGAGCCTCATAATGGCACTCATGGCTTAGTGCAGCTTGCTTTAGTTCACATAAGGTTTCCTCTGAGGCAAACCTCGAAGGGGTTACATGATTTACCCAAGGTTATAGTAATTAATGTCATACTCAGAATTGACTCCAAGATTCTGTGACTCCAGAGTTCTCTCCCATGCCACTCTACCTGTCTTAGCATTTATTCTTGCTTTTGCAGTGTTACTGTAACCAGTCACTGCTAGTCCACTATTCTGGAAATATTTACAATGGAAAATGGCAGAGCATTCACCCCAGTGAGAAAGAGCTTTGGCAATTTCAGGTCAATGATTTATTTAACTCAGTGCAGAAAACCCGAAGACATTTTTCAAGGCAAGTACTAACACTGTCTGGACAAATGGAAGATTTCTGAGGGTGAGCAGTGGGTCGGAGTGTCATCTAGAGGACGCTGTGATAAATACTGCGGATGTAGGGACCAGAGCATGAAGGTGTAATGACAGGGGAGCAACGGATGCACTGCATTTCAGCCTTGGCTGCTTAAAAGATAACACAGTGTGCGCATCCTACTGAGGAACAGGAAAAACATGGGTATGGAAAGAGTGCGGCCTCTGTAAAAGCTTGTATTACATTCCCACTCTGTTTATCAGCTTTGTGAGCTTGGAGCAATGCCTTCATCTCTGGGAAATATATTTCTTCATCTGTAAACTTGCAATCCTAATACCTCCCTTGAAGACTGATTATTTTATGAGGGCTAAATGATAGACAGTAGCCTGGACTGGGGTCTTGATAAAGTGTTATCCTTAAGAAAAGGTCGTGGTAGAGAGGGAAAGCAGAGGAAGGAAGGTGGAGAGGCAAGAGGAATTCAAAAGGAAGACCTTAGGTGACACTCACGCCCCCATTACTACCTCTGGTGCCCACCTTCCATCCCCTCCTGGTTTCCCTGAGCTGGGCCCAGGGCAGTTTCCTTTCTGTTTTCACTTATGGTGCTTCTGAAGCCTTCCCTTGCCCTCACCCCCATGGGTATTTTCTTCTATGTCTAGCACTTGGCTTTTTCTGTCCTGTCTTGTTACAGCTGGAACCTGGAACTTTAGCAGTGCACCATCCATCCTTTCTGAATTCACTAATTCGACAAGCTATCCCAGCTACAGCTTCCCTTAATAGAAGCTTGATGCATACAGCTTTATAGAATCATTTAATCAGCCCGATGCAGTATATGTTCCCCTGGAAGGGTACTTACAATGCCAGGCTTGATCTGCGCTGGGTGATGTGTGCCAGGGCATCTTCGTGATGAACTAAGTGCCCCCAGGCCTTCCCTGGGGGTAGTCTGCTGTGCTCTAAGCACCTTAGACCCTTTTGTAAATCTTGTATGGCACTCAACTCATTGTACTGCTGTTAACTGTTTATATGTCTATCTTCCCAGTAAACTCTGAGCTTCTGACCTGGTCTAATTCATTTTTGCATATACTCTAAACTTCAGCATGTTGCCTGGTGCATTGTTGATGCTCAATAAATGTTTGAATGAATGACACTTTAAATGAGCTCTAGGAGGTAGATATAGAGAGAGATTTTTTTCTGGTGCTGATTTAATTTGCAGAAAGGGTTATATGAAAATCCAATAACAGACGTGTATTTCCCATTAGACTTTATTAGCTTTTCATAGCACCTCTTTGCAGTGAAGAGAAACGATTAGTTTAAAATGCAGCCAGCAAATTTTCTTGATACCTTTTGGAGAAAGCAGCCATCCTCAGCCCTTTGTTTATAGCCCTTTCTATGGTTAGTGCCAAGCAGAGCAAAGCTTGCAGTAACCAGTACTTCACCCCTGTAATCAATTTGAACCGAAAGGCCCACAAATGCAACATGCAGCAAATGTTTCCGGGAGGCCGGAATGCACCACGATGGCCTGGAGTCCCAGGAAAGAAGCAGGAGCGGCAGGCTGGGAGGATTCCATCCGGGGGCTGTGACGGGCCAGACTTACATTTCCTGCAAACCAGACACCAGGCAGCAGCTCAGATCAAAGCAGCCCTAGCAATGCTGTGTGTTTCAATTCCAGAGAGTGAAACATAAATAATAATGACGAGAGTCCCTAAATTTACAATTCATGAAATCTTAAGGTATAGAGGGCAGAGGTGGAACTCCAAGCCAGGTAACTGAGAGCAGAACGTATTGCCGCAGCCCTGCTGCGTAAGAACTGATTTACCTTAAGAAACTTTACAAAGGCACTTGGCAGATTCCGTTTCCTGGGATGAAGGGAAGTGGAGAGAGACGATCTTACTGTTGAACCTTCTAGAAGAGTCCAAAGGGGAAGGCTGAGTGTTGGGGCGGCCCCTGGGCTGCCTCCTGGAGCTGCAGCCGCGTCTCCACAAAAACACCCACTTAGCAACCCGTTCCTAAGGAAGGTCACCCGGAGGCTTTTTTTTCCTTTTAAAGTGACAGGTCACTTCTAGTAGTGGGACATGAACGTGCCGCTGAGCCGAGGAGCACAGCTGACAGAGAAGGACAAAGAGATCAGCGTGGGGAGCCGCAGGAATTAGGTCAAGTGCCAGGAGCAGCCCCTCCCGCACGCCCCCTGCGTCCGCGGGCATTTCCGGTGAAGGGCAGGCAGTGCTCCCAGGTGGGAGGCCCAGAACCGCACAGGTCACCGTGACAGGGCGGGGATGTCTAACTTCTCTGCAGCACAGGCTCCGTGGAGGGGCTCCTGGGCACCAGAGAGTGTGGCTTGGGAGTGTTTTCTGGTTAAATGGGGGGAGATTGAATGTACAAGATTAATTTTGACTTCTTCTCTGTATCCCACTGAAATCGCCACAAGAGGATACACATGTTACGGCTCCAAACAGCAAAGGCAACGGGAGAAGAGGCAAAGCAGATGGAAGAGACCATGTGGGTGGAGACCAAGGAAAGCCACACTTCAAATATATGTGTGTGCATATGATTGTGTGTGTGCATGTGGATCTGTGTTTGTGTCTGTGTTCGGCTGTCTCTGTATGTGAGGGTATGTGCGTGTGTTAGGGGTGCAGCTAGGCATAAGAATGAGGAAATGAGCTGATCCACTCTGCAGAACTCTAGAAAGACTCAGGATTTGGCTCAGTGGCTCCCTGGTGTGACAGGCTGACTTGTGTCCTTCCAGAAAAGACTTTGGAATCCTAATCCCCATACCTCAGATCGCGATCATTTTTGGAGACAGGGTCTGTAGAGAGGTGATCAATTTAAGATGAGGTCATTCGGGTAGGCTCCAACCCAATATGACTGTGTCCTTTAAAAAGGGGAATTTAGGCACAGAGACAGACATGCACAGCAGGAAGGTGATGTGAGAACAGGGAGAACAGCATCTATAAGCCAAGGAATGCCTGAAGCCCGGGAAGTTAGGAGCCAGGCCTGGAACAGATCCCCCCTCAGGGCTCCCTCAGAGGGAACAACCCTGCTGACACACTGCTTTCTAGGCTCCAGTCTCCAGAACTGTGAGATGATACTTCCCTGCTGTTTCCAGCCACCCAGGTTGCGTGCTGTGTTATAGTCGCCCCAGGCACCTAATACAGTCAGAGACCAAGGAAAGTGGGGAGGGTTATGGAGCTGAAAATGCAAAAAGATGCGAAGATCTGTCTATGAAAGTGCTAGACCCTGAGGACCCTCCTGTACTCCTGGCAGCCTGAGGAATGCGCCCTTCCTCCCAAACCCCTCTTCTGTAACCCAGAAGAGATTGGAGGTTTCTTCTCTGGGGAAGTTGAACAAGAGACGCTCCAGTCTCAAGTTCCCAGGTATGGCAGAGGACAGGTCTGTCTCTGCGGGAATCTGGGTATGAAGTGGAGAGGAGGGCAGGGCACTCTCCTTCTCACAGAACTGAGGCAACCAAACATGTACTTCTGGCTCTCCCACTGCACCTCCACCATCACCAAACTGCAAAACATGGAAAAGTATTTTATGGAGAAACTGAATGGTCACAAAGAACAGATTCCAGATATTGATATTTCTGGATCCTCCAATGAAAAAAGTAGCATCATTGCCTTTACAAAAATGTGTTACTGAGAAAATGAGAGGATTCAGGGTAAGAAGTTCCACACTCATAGTTATGGAAAGAGAGAACCAAGAAAATGAAAAGGTATAACTTATTGAAGATGTAATATAAGAAAAACTCTCAGAAGTGAAAGAATAGGTCTTTAGATAGAAAGACTGCTTAGATTGAAAGTCTTAGACTGAAAGACTGCTGGTACAAGCAGACAACAATAAAACTTGTCTTCTCTGCCTGTGTATGGTGGGAAAATATTCTCCAGAGAATTCATAACCATTGGCTTGCACTATGCTATTTAATTGCATTTTTATGCTACTTGTATATCATTTAGGAACCCCCTAAGGGACAAATTTTAAAAAGTGTTCTCAGGCTGCTGTATCTCTGAGGGGTGCCAGGCAAGAGTAGATAGAAAACTTTTCTGGAGGGATACACCTTCAAGTAGTCAGTTCAGGATGGCCTCAGATAAACCTTACTGACAGGCTCACAATCCAAAAATTAGACAACACAGGAGGAAACAATAGAGTCCATGGGCACCAGAAGGTATGGTTAGATACCCAAGAGCTTTTGATACTACAGTGATCAATGGAGAATATACAAAAGAATGACCAGGACTTAAAAGGAGGCTTTGAAAATATGAAAGAAGAGTGAGGCACTACCAAAAAGATCAGGCAAATGTAAAAAAGAACCAGCTAGAGTGTTTAGAAATGAATTAGAAAGTCATGATTTTTTTTTTAAAGCAAAGGATGGGTCAACCTACTGATGAGAGAGCTGGAATGAAAATTAATGATGTAAAACAGAGATTTAGGAAATTAAAATTTAGCACAGAGAAGGAGAACAGGAAAAGTGGATGAAAGACACAGAGGAGGTATTGAGGAGGTTCATTCTAGCTACTGGAGTCCCAGGAAGACAGAAGAAAGGACCAAGTTGAATGCTGCCTCTTAAGGGATCCTGAGGGATCTTGGTCAACTTCCTTAACTTCTTTAGGTTTCAGTTTCCTCTCTGTAAAATGAGATTAAGAACAGTAGCTACTCCAGAGGGTTGTTATGAGGTTGGTTAAACTAGTATTTGTCAAGTCTTGGCCCACAGTAATGGGTGTTGTCTTACACAGCACAGGCTGCTTTAGAAAAACACTGTAGTGTGGCTGGCTTAAACAAAAGAGGTTCATTTTCACACAGTTCTGCAGGCTGGGAAATGCAAGATCTAGGTGCCAGTTAATTCAGTTCCTGGTGAGGGCTCTCTTCCTGGCTTGTGGGTGGCCACCTTCCTGCTGTTCTTACATGGCCTTTTCTTGGTACATTGGATAGGGAGAAATGTCTTCCTCTTTTTATAAGGCCACCAAACCTATTGGATTAAGACTCTACCCCTATGACCTCATTTGACCTCAGTTACTTCCTAAAATCCCTATCTCGGAAATAGACACATTAAAGTTTAAGGCTTCAACATGTGAGTTTGATGCAGACACAGTTCAGCCTATAGCAGATGTTTATTGTAAGAGATGATTGACTTGAAGTGGTCACCTGCCATAACAGTAGGATTTGTTCACTACTTTTGTGTTAATTAATCTTTTGATTGTGACTTCCTTATCCTTTAATATTTAACTCAACTAAACCAAACCAGTTCATAAGAATTATACTCATAACATTCTGAAATTACTAAAAAGCATAGTTCAAAAACATCATTTCTTGAAAAAGTTCTTACACAAGTAAAATAAATGAATTTGGCAGATTTGTTTTAAATCAAAATGCAAAAATCTCATTCTTTTAAGTTAAGTGTTCCTTGCTGGTTAAAGAGGTTTTAATCAAGAACAAGCATTGAATCACACATCACTAGCTTTTTTTCTGCTTCTTTTGAGATATTCAAATATGATTTTTCTTCTTTCATCATTTAATGTGATGAATTACATTAACAAGCTTTTTAATGTCGAACTTTTCTTGTAATTCTGGGATACACTAAACTTGGTCAAGATATTTAAAAAAATTGTCAGACTTAGTTTCTAATACTTATATTTTTTTGCCTTTATATTCACCACTGAAATTGTATTATTGTTCTTGTTTCTTTTAGTAAGTGGATATTCTAATCTCCAAAAGAGCAGACTAATCTCTCTCTCTGTCCCTCTGTCTCTTTCCCTTTGTCTCTGTTTCTGTTCCTTTCTTTTTTTCAAACACACACACACACACACACACACACACACACACACACACACACACACACACAAACACACTATATGTTCTATAAAGTTGTCCATAAAGCTCTTTGGGTCTGGTGAGATTTTTTTTTTATTGTGGCAAATATATACAATACAAAATTTGCTATTTTAGCCATTTTTCCAAGTTATAATTTGACATATAGCATAATATTAGTTTTAGGTGTACAGTACAATATTTCATAATATGGCACAATGATTACCACAATAAGTTTATTTAATATTCACCACCTCACAAAAAGTTAGATTTTTTTTCTTATGATTGAGAATCTTTAAGCTCTACTCTCTTAGCAACTTTCAAATATATATTTAAATCATTTTTAAGTGTACAATTCAGTGGCATTAGTTACATTCACAGTGCTGTGCAACCATCACCACTATGTATTTCCAAAACTTTCCACTACCCCAATAGAAAGTCTGTGCCATTAAACAAAACGCTACATTGTGGAAAGACAGTGCAGTGCCTGGTAGCCACCAATCTGCTTTCTGCCTGTGTGAGCTTGCCTATTCTAGTTATTTCTTGTAGGTGGAATCACACAGTATTTGCTCTTTTGTATTTGGCTTAATTCAGTTAGCATAATGTTTTCAAGGTTCATCCATATTGTAGCATGTGTCTGTATTTATCTCTTCTTAAGGCTGAATAATATTCCATTGTATGGATATATCACATTTTTCTTACCCATCCATCTGCTGATGAACACTTATTTCTACCTTTTGGATAGCGAGATTATGCTGCAATGAGCAGTCACATAGAAGTATCTGTTCAAGTTCCTGTTTTCAACTCTTTTTTTTTGTAAATAACAGCTTTATTGAGCCAATTATATACCATAAAGTTTGCCCTTTCAATGCTATCAGTTCAGTGATTTTTAATATATTCACGTAGTTAGGCATCCATCATGGCTGTCTAATTCTAGAACATTTTCATCATTCCAAAAAGAAATCCCATGCCCATTAGCAATCACTTCCCATTCTCCTTCTCCCCAGGCCTTGGTATTTTCTCTTTATAACATTGCTTTCTGAAGCCCCACAGATTTCTTGATGTGACAGGTTGATTTTTTTATTGATATACAGTCTTATTTTAGTTTCAAGTATACAACACAGTGGTTCAATAGTTTCCCATATTATTAAATCCTCACCCCCACTAGTACAGTTGCTGTCTGTCAGTATAGAAGGATGTTACAGAATCTGTTTTCAGCTCTCTGAGGTGCATACTTAGGAGTGGAATTGTTGAGTTATACGGTAATTCTATATTTACCTTTTTGAAGAATTGCCAACTGTTTTTCACAGTGGCTGAATCATTTTACATTCCATCAGTCATGTAGAAGGATTCGAATTTCCTCATAACTTCACCAATATTTGTTATTTCCCATTTTTGGATGATAATCATCCTAGTAGATAGGAAGTGGTATCTTACTGGGGTTTTAGTTTTGCGTCTCCCTGTAAGTAGTGATGTTGAACACTATAATTCATTGAGCTTGTTGGCTAGCTGTAAATCTTTTCTGGAGAATGTGTGTTGGGGGGGACGATTGTAGCTTAAATTTTGAACCACTGATTCGAATTTTTTGAATGCTTATTGATCTATTCAGGTTTTACATTTCTTCTTTTAGTTTTAATATATCATATACTTTTATGAAATTTTGCTTTTTCTTTGTTTTGAAATTGATTGGTATAAGGTTTTTCACAATATTCCTTATTATTTTTAAACTTGATATGTCTGTATCTATATCCTTTTTTTTTATTCCTAATAAAAATTCTGTGCACTTTCTTGCTATGTCCCTGTGGTGGTTGAAAAAAAAAAACCTCCAAATCCTTTGCATCTTCTCCCGTCAAGAAGTGGGGCCTATTTTCTTTCCCCTTGTATCTGAGTGGACTCACAACCGCGTTGACAATAGAGTGCGGTGGAAGTGACGTGGACTTGCTGGCTGACTTCCTGAGTAACAAAAGATGACTTTTGTTTTCTCTGTTGTTTTGGTTTCTGTGCTGTTTGCTAGAGTTTTTGTGTTTAGAGTCTTGAGCCACTATAGATGAAGTTTGGTGACTCTGAGGCCACCATACTGTGAGGGAGCCAGGTACATTGAAGGGTCATGTGTGTACTCTGTTTGGCAGTCTCTGAGTCATTCCTGGCCAGGGCTCCGGACATGGGTGTGGACAAGCTTTTGGATGATTCCAGACCCTAGACATTGAAGGCTGTGAAATTGTGAAAAACATAATTTCACAAAAACAAGGGACTTGGTGTTTTCTCAGCTGAGGCCCCAGATTTTGTGGAGTACAGATTAGTCAACTAGTTGTTCTCTGTTCAAATTCTTGGCTAACAGAATCCATGTACATAATGAAATAATTGTTCTAAGCCAGTGCATTTTGGGGTCATTTGTTACACAGCAATAGTAACTGTAGCAGTCATATCTTTAAATAAATGAATAAATAGATGAACGAATGAACAAATAAAATAGGTCATTGTGTTTTGGATGGGGTTCTGAGGCATATAATTTTACAGGTATATTTAAAAAAAAAGCAAAGGCATTTGATGCCTTCAAGGATAATGCCATTCATCATGATGGATTTGAGGCCTCTTTGGGAGATTAGGACACGAAAATAATTATGGCAAAATTATAGAACCTGAGATGAAACTATTATGCTGTATCCTCCTTGGAGGAAAACTGCAATGGTACTCTATTAGGACAACAAATAGTTAAAATATGTTTTTCACGCCTGAACCAATTTCAGCTTTAGATGAATGTGTGATTCTTACTCAGTTCTTGGAATTTTATAATATTTTTGATTGTAGCTGATTTGTTCTCCATGAAAGAAAAATCACAAGGGAAAACTCATCACTAACACAAGGCCCAACTTGAAGAATTACCTTTGAATCATAAATTTTATGAAACCATGTTCTTCAACATTTGATTTATGTTTTCTAATTTGCTGAATTATATACATCTCCTCCTGAAATATAACTTGAAGTCCAGCAAATCCGAACCTTTGTTTTAATAGTAAATGGGGAGCAACCCTTATTGACTCAGATATATTGGTTGTGTAGCCTATTTTTATTTTGGAGATAAAAGGCATTTAATTTTCTCCCTTCAGGGTGATGATTTTCAACCTGTTTTGAATTACAACAACTTTCTTCTGATTTGCTTCATTTCATAGCATTCTCACTTCCTAACAGAGCTCTCTGAGCTATTAAGAATAAAATGCTATGAGATTCATTTTCTTTAGACACTTATGTCATAATCTGAACTAATTGGAGACACTCTGACATATCAGAGAAAACTGCTTCTCTAATATGAACAGAGAATTCTCATGTTTTTCTTGTTGGAAAGGTTATTTTCCTACAATTTTTACGTTCTTTTCTCTCCAGCTACTTCCCTGAAGTACATCTCACTGGTATGACCTGCTTCCCTAGCTCAGGGTACAAATATCTTCAGAATGCTTTCATTTTCTAATTAAAGGCTTTCCCATTTTATTGTGCTTCACTTTATCGCACTTCTCAGCTATTGCAATTTTTACAGGTTGAAGGTCTGTGGTAACCCTGCATCAAGTAAGTCGGTGGGCACCACTTTTTCCAATGGCATTTTCTTACTTTGTGTCTGTGTCATATTTTGGCAATTCTCACAGTAGTTCAAACTTCATTATTTTTATATTTGTCACTGTGATCAGTGATCAGTGATCTTTGATGTTGCTATTATCATTGTTTCGGGGTACCACAAAACATGCCCACCTTAGAATGTGAACTTAACTGACAAATGTATGAGTTCTGGCTGCTCTGCCCACTGGCCGTTCCCCTGTCTCTGTCCCTCTCCTCAGGCCTTCCTATTCACCAAGACACAACAGTATTGGAATTAGTTCACCTACCATTCCAAAAATCCTAGGAGCCTGAAGAATCATGATAAATCTACGCTGCCTATGTTTTATAAATGGAACAATAAAGCCTGGATCACAGCACATCTGTTTATAACATGGTTTACTGACAATTTTAAGCCCACCATTGGACATACAGCTCAGAAAAAAATTCCTTTCAAAATATGACTGCTCATTGACAATGTACCCGGTCACCTCAGGGCTCTGATGCAGATGTACCAGGAGATCAACGTTTGCATGCCCGCTGACCCAGCACCACTCTGCAGCCTATGGATCAAGGAGAGATCGACGTTCAAGTCTTCATACTTAAGAAATACATTTCATAAGGCTATAGGTCCCATAAATAGTGATTCCTCTAGTAGATCTGGCAAAGTCCCTTGAAAACCTGGGAAGGATTTACTGTTCTATACGCTATGCAGAACATTTGTGATTCACGGAAAGGGTCAGAATGTCAACATTTGCAGGAATTTGGGAGAATCTGATTCTGTCCCTCATGGAAAACTTTGAAGTGTTCAAGACTTCAGGGGAGGAAGTAACTACAGATGTAGTGGAAATAGCAAGACAACAAGAACTAGGAGTGCAGCCTGAAGACGGGACTGAACGGCTCCAGTCTCGTGATTAAACAAACAGACGGAGGAGCTGCTCCTTAACGGATGGGCAGAGAAAGTGGCTTCTGGAGGTGGAACGTAGTCCTGGCGCAGGTGCTGTGAAGATCGTAGAAATGACAACAAAAGATTTAGAGTATGGCATAAACTCGGTTGGTAAGCAGCCGCAGGGTTTGAGAGGCCTGACTCCAATTTTGAAAAGAGTTCTACTATGGGTGAAATGCTACCAAACAGCATCACGTGTTACAGAGATATTGTCAGTGAAAGGAAGAGTCAGTCAATGCAGCACATTTCATTGTTGTCTTATTCTAAGAAATTGCCACGGCCCCTCCAGCCTTCAGCAACTGCCACCTGATCAACTCGCAGCCTCTGCCAGCAAAAAGATCATGACCTGCCGAAGCCTCAGATGATGCCTAGCATTTTTAAGCAATAAAATATTTTTAAATTAAGGTATGTCCATTGTATTTTTAGATATAGTACTGTTGCACATAGACTATAGCGTACAAATAACTTTTTAAATAGACTATAGTGTACACGTAACTTTTATATGCATTAGGGAACCAAAAAATTAATCTGACTCGTTTTCTTGAGATATTTGCATATTGTGGCACTCTGGGACTGACTCGCAGTGTCCCTGAAGCACGCCTGTAGTTGCTTGAACATGGGCTTCTACTGTCATCAGCAGGACGTCCACTGTCTCCCCCTTGAAGCCTCATTTTCAGTTAGAGTTGTTGAAAGGCCTACTCCTTTCAAAGGGTAGTCCTAGGTCCACATGCCAGTGGAGAAAGAACAGAGGCGTCTAGCTGGTTCCTGCAGGAGATGGCGCCCCAGGAACCCACACCCTTGCCTGCAGCTGTGCTGATGTGTCTGATAGTCCAAATATTCATACCAGATTCCTCACATTTGAGATTCTAGGGTTACCTTCTTTAGTTATACCCACGCTCTCAACCAATGTTGATTTTGCCCTCCCAAGGGGACATTTGGCAAAGTCTGGGGACACTTTTGGTTGTCCCAAGGGAACATTAGTGGCATCTAGTGGGTAGAAGGTAGGGATGCTGCTAAACATCCTTCCATGCACAGGACAGCCCCCCACTTCCCTTGCCATTACACAGTTATCTGGTTCAAAATGTCTGGAGCATGGAGGCTGAGAAACCCGGGTTTCTCTAATATGATAATTTATACCGATATGATCTGCCACCGCCCCCAGCATCTGCAAAGGTTTAAGATCTCAGTCACAAGCTGTGCCAGCAACTCCACTCCCCCCTCATCTCCCTGTGGCCTTCTGAGCTGTGATTTTGACCTGGGTGACCAGTCCACAGTCCACAACCTCCTCTCCTCAAGTTGGGGTTCCCCACCATAGTGCCAATATCCTTTCTGGCTGATTAATGCCATTAGGACCAGCCAGATTTATCAGAGAGGTTTTAAACTATTGAAATTCAGGAGAAAAGAGGCCTAGTGTCTAAATTCCTTTATTCCCCTGGAGGTTCCTTGGCCATTTTGTAAATTTATTCGCTGTCATTAAGAACTACAAGGGGCATGTGAAAAGGGCACATCAGTCATGTCACAGAAAATCCGGTTATATCCCCATTTGCCAGGGCAGTAGATGGGTGTCCCTTGTCTTATGTTTGCATAATCGAGAAGAGTCGCTCAAATGAGCCTTCACTGAAACAAGATCTTATCCAAGGTGACTTGCTGGGATCCCTAGAAGGGGGAGCAGCCGACAGTATCTCGATAAAAAAAAAAAATTATGTCTGGTTCACAAGGCACTCTGACCCATCTATTATTTTCTCATGTCTTGTGAGACCACAAATTGTACTGCATTTCCTCCAAATGCAGCAAAAGCTAAAACGCTTGGGAAACATAGGCAGTTTGCGAGATTTGATTTAGGAATGGACTCTCTACTGATTCCAGGTCAAGAATTTTTATGTCTTGCTGCCTGCAGCCACAAGCCCCCATAGAGACATTGTGCTTTGTCCCCTGACACACAATTCTTGGGGACCTGGAAGGGGGATTTGGGTCTTTATACTGGTCCAGATGATATTTTGATACAGAGAGTACCCAGGAGCATCTGTTCTCACTGTCTGATTTCTGCCCACACTGGGAGCCTGTATTTCTCACGTCCTGAGATGGACCAGGATATAAATAGAGCTGCTTTGGACTTGCCTCTGATTTCAATCACTGTTGATGCTTTTGGAAATGCATCGCCGACTCCAGGGAACTGTCAAGCCAGCAGATCTGTGGAGTCGGGGCCTTCTGTAAGTCGGTAGCTGCTTGTGTTCTCACTATTTGGGAGATGGAATTTGGAGCAGAGGGCAAAGGCACACTTGCTACTCTGCATCATTCTGCTCTTTTAGGCTTGGACTCTGAGGGGCTCTGACATACTTGAGGGGTTTACTAGGGTAGCAGGCAAAGATGGTCAGTGCTACATACTGTCTAACCAGGGAAGCGACCCTACAGGAGGAGACTGGCCAACTTCGAGGGTGGCCTGTGTGTCCCACATGTTCTCACATCTAGTCGCCAGTTTTTAGTCACTCCACTATAATTCCTCTCTCTTTTCTTGGGGACTTCAGTAAAATCTTACAGTTGTTCCAACATAGTGTCCTCTGCGCTGTGGATAAACAGAAAGGATTTCTATCCATCTTGGCACAGCAGGATAAGCATAATTTTAGGAATAGAATGGTGGTAGAGATTGCTCAAATCCTCAAAAGGCAGATGACTTCTAGTTGGGGGAGGGAGACATGAGTTTTGCCATTTACCTTATGAAAATTCTCCTCCTTCGCTACCAACCTGGGTTATTTTACTAAGGGATCCTGGGTTTACACACACACAATGCTTCAGGGCTATCTTAACTCACATCTTCACTAACCTTGGAGAACCATCTATCATTATTAACAAGGCTTCCCTCTTTCTCTAGCTTTCTTGCGTTTACCACTAGCATAACAATTGACACATCATTTGTCTTTCCCACTCGGCTCTCATTACTCAGGGTAATACCTGGCACATAGTAGACACTCAATAAATACGTGTTGAATGATTAAAGGAAAAAAACCAACACATGAGGGGGAGTTTTCATTATTTGAGGGCAAAGACTTATGTCTAAGAGTGTGAGAAGCACAATCTCTCCTTGAACCAGTGAGATTGATTCCAGAGCCAGAAAAGCTACTTCTGTGAAGTTCAGGAAGCCTGTCATCAGTAAAAGGGGTTCCTAGGGCAAATGGTCAGGATGGTAGTTCTAGGAGTACAACTGGACCCCTGGCCTCAGGTCTTAGTATCTGCCATTTGCTGATTGGATAGCAGGGTAAGTCGCTTTTTGGTTTTAGGTGATGTCTGATTTCACATGATAAATTATCTGCACATTTATCTATCCATGCATCTGATGTTTATTAAGGACTTGCTGGGTGGCAGGTATAAGAGGTTCAGGGATGTTTAAGATAAAAAAACCTTACCGTCTAGCTGTTTACCATCTAAGGGGGATTGGAGCTTCTCTCCACAGTTATCCAGTCAGGCCTGTGGTCAGCCACAGTAGCAACTGCAGTGTTGTCCCTGTCGCTCCATTTTGTTAATTGAAGCGTTTGTGGAAGAGCAGCTTTTAAATGTCTGCTGGGCACTGGGAGGAGATGAACGGAATAGAAGGCAGTAGACTGAGGCTCCAGTCCTGTATTAGACGCCACTGACAAGTCCCTCGTCTTTATGGATCTCTGTTTCCTCTTCTGTAACATCAAGTGGGAAGAGAAAGATGATCTCTAAAGCCTCTCCCAGCTCACACTTGGATTGTGTAAAATCTTAAGAAAATGTGTCCTTTAGTGGAGTAGTTCCAGGTGCTGGCCGCTAGAGGTCAGTACCTTAAAAAGTAAACTGGTCGCATTCCATTCCGCCACCAAAGTAAACCTTGAGCAGAAGCAAAATTACTATTTTTTTAACTTTGTTTTGGGAAAGAAGAATTATTCCCAAAGAAACAGTTTTCCTTTTAACGTACTAAAGCTTGTCACCCCTAAACGCCTTGTGCTAGACACTCTCTGCAGAGCTAGAGGCGGATACAGCCCTGGTTAGTGAAGCACTTATACGGTTTCTGCACGGACCTGAATGCGCTGATGTCCGTGTGCCAGGATGAAAGAGAAACTGAAATGATTCTTCTGCAGAGCAGGCCCCTCAGCATATCCAGTGGGGGCTTGCTCCTATCCATTCACTGAGAATTAAAGGAGAAATAGGTTTGTAGATGATTTCTTCTCTCACAGATGGGAGATGGGGAAGGAATGATTTCCTTCCTCTCCCTGAGATCCTGCCACCTTGAGAAACAGGAACTTCTATTCTCCTATTAGCTTGAAATTGGCAACGACTTATCTCTATTTCTCAGTGGCTCCTTCCAAAGGGAGAGGTTAGGAGGAGTAATTTCTCTGCCTGGTGAGAGGGCACGAGTTGGAACCCACTGTCCTCTGTGTCTCTCCCAGGAGTGGGCTGCGTGTAAATAGCCACTTGCAGGTGTGGCCGGTCTTGGGGCCTATGAATCTGACTTGGGGTGAAGCAGACCTCGGTCCTCTGTGAGGCTGAAGGGAGAAATGTCTGATCTGTAGGGCAAATGCTCCCTGAGGTCTAGATCCAGAAGTAACCACTGTGTTGTGTGTTTGGACCTCACATCCACGTTGCGCTCTCTGGCTTAGTGCTACATACAGGAGGAAGGGCAGCTTTTGGTCCTTTTGTGGCTTCTGAGTGTATTTCTCAATTGGCTTTGCACTGTCTCAGGGGAGGAGTGGGGTCAAGTGGAGGCCCTGCTCAAATCCGATCAGCGGGGGTGGGTCGTGTTATCCGCTCACAGTACTTCCTACCGCAGGCTTGTTTGTCACATGGTTGTAGAATTTAATTGTCCTTATGGAGTACAGGACTGGGGAAAGAAGACATGTTGCCCTCCCCGTTTGTCATCATTTTATGCAGCAGAAAGCAAACTAACATGAAAATAAACGACAAATAGTAAAAGTAAGTCATTAAAATACCACTTAAGGAGTATATGCAGGAGAAAGACATTTGCCCACGTCTTAGTAGTGGTGCAAAAAGAATTGGTATCAAATCTCAGCCCTTTTGGTATAAGCTGGTGGACCTTTATCCCCTTTACTGCTTTTTCCCATCTTATTCCCTCTTGTGGGTAAAATTGTAATATTTCTAGAATATCTTGCCTGGCTTTGGTGCATTTGCACGTGCTCAGGGCGGAGAGAAGTTCATCTCCACATCGATGGGTAATCACCTGGGCAACCAAGGGCGTGTCTGAACCTGAGAGGTTAAGGGGAGGGGCTGGTTTGCTTGCTTGCTTCCTTAGAAGCAGAGGAGAGAGACGGCCCTGGACTGCAGTTTGTAAGCAATAAACGGGTCTTAAGCTTTATTTCTCCCTTTGACTGATTTCAGTTTTTAGAGGTATTTTGCCCCGGGATTTCCTCTCCCCGGACTTGACACCTCTTCACTGGCATAAGGAGTAAAAAGGAGAAGGCTCTACAACGTGACCCCAGTAATCACAATCACATTCATTTATATGGAACTTTCTATCATCTACCCACTCATTTATTTATCCATTCACTCATTTATCACATCAACGTTTACTGAGCATCTATTATGTGCCAGCACTATGTGCCCGCCCCACAGAGCTGCCCTCAGAGAGATGACCAAGTGCTAAGGCAGGTGATGTCAGGGCCTCTCCCATATTCCTGGGTCCTTAGCCAGTCCAGGGTGTCCTGGTAGATTTCAGGCTGCCTTTTCCACATTTCTGCACCTGAGGCACTTCCTCAGGACCTCGAAAAGCCTCTCTGCTGGAGCACCCAAGGTGCTGGGGGGAGTGACATTCTGAGGGGAGTCCTCCACCAACAACTCTTGGAAGTTGGTCTTTAAATGCCCCAGTTTCCTCACTTTTGGTGTGAGCTCATTCTGGGGGATGCATTTTATCCCATTTTCTCTAGCTTCCCTTTGGGATAAGCTTGAGTCAGCTACTGTAGCAGTTTGCATAGCAACACATATTGCTTGCCTTCCCCTGCCTGGACCACTTGCTCACCACCCTATTGGTGTTTCCAGTGCCTCCCAAATAAACTACTTACACTCAGAGCCTTGCCTCAGGGTCTGTTTCTGGGGCAAACCAGCAAAAACAGTTGCTTTTGACATACTCGATCATTTTTGGTCCTTGGAAGGGCCTTGTGAAGTTATGCACATCATCACACCCTTTTGGAAAAAAGCAAAACCTGCAACATGTCCTGCTGATGGGCTTTGCCCCGGCAACTCTGTTTTACACCAGGGGTTTGCAGTCCCGGCTGGCAGGATCCATGAAGGATGCTGGCTCAGTCGGCAGCCAGCCTCACTCTGGGGGAAATAAAGAATCAGGCAGAGACTGAGCAGGGGCAGCTGAAGCACAAAGTGTGTCCTAAACTAGCGTTGGACTATGAGAGGACACGAGAGTGGAAATCATGAGAAAGCAGGATTTATGAGTAGAAAAAGTAGATAGAGGGTGTGGAAGCCAGTGGGTAGTATGAGAAGCCCACCGATGCAGCAAGAAGCAGCAGCATGAAGAAGGGGAGAATCCAGGTCATCATCAGGGGAGGGTTGGGGACCTGCTGTGTCCTCCACTCAGGTTCTTGAGGTCAGTTGGAGCCATCCAGCTCCTACAAGGTCTGATCAAAGCAGGATTCCTGCGCCCATTATGCCTGCTCTGGACTTGAAAAAGAAAATCTACCTGAGGACAGTCGTCATGTTTTGCTTTTAATGGAGGATGTGGGACTAGGTGTGATCTTGCCTGTGAGAGTTGAAGGGGAATACAAAGAATTCGGAACTTTCATTAGAGACGGATAGGAAATCCAAGGCTTGTTTATTTGAGGGAAGACAACTAGGCTTCATCTGACGGGCAGATCCTTGCTGATGGCTGGTGGCCAATGGCTGGTGGCTGATGGCTGGTGGCTGAAGGCTGCCTGGAAGCCTTGCTGACAGCACTGAGGCTGCCCTGGACACGGGGCGGGGGGCGGGTGGGAGAAGGAATGCTGTGACGGGTTAGCAAAGTCAGCCTGCAGTACAGAGAAAGAGGGGCAGCCACCCATTTTCCACCGTGGATCTAATGTGGAAACAAACCTACAGTATTTACACGACTTGTCCAAAAGTCACACAAGGCTGGTTACTGGGACTGTTGGGGATAAATCTTATGTTTTCTGACTTTCTACCCAGCTTTTCTTACGTCTTTTGGATTTAGCCAAATTTGACCCTTTGATACTCGTTGGGGGAAGCTAACAACATCTTCTTTTAAGGAAAGCTGCTCCTTTTTGTAGGAGAAATTATAAGCACAGACCTTCTGAAAGTCTCTGGGATTCATATTATTGCCATTTCAGGTGAATTCTAGGGCCCAGAGTTGCCAGACTTAGCAAATAAGAATATAAGGCACCCACTTAAATATTTGGGATATCCTTATACTAAACAATTATGTTGTGTCTATCTGAAACTCTGATTGGATGTTGTGAATTTACTCTGAATTTTATGCCTAGGGAGGGTCACGTGGGTAAGGACTTCTCGCGCGTGCGCCTTGATATATTGATGCGTATGTATCCTGGGTTTCCTGACCATCCTTCCTACAAGCATCTATTTTTTTCCCCCCAATAGTCTGACCAACTGAACACCTCAGGGAGCTGTGCTTGTAGTTCTGAATATAGTAAGATCTGGGTGTTTTCTGTAGAAAATCCTTGCCACTCCCTATCATTGTTCCAGAGTGATTTCAGTAACAGAAGGGATGCATTGCTGTGCCACGAGTGTTATTCAAAACTGTGGTAGGGATAGACTACAGAGACCTTACTTTTTCCTGTTGTTTGTTTTAGCTAAGGCAGCCTCTCATAAGCAATCTTATAAAAGATAGCACTTTTATAATGTGAGAGCATCTACGCAACCCCGTCGAGTTTATGGTCTCTAGATCCGGTACTTTCAGATCATTTCTTAGAATTCTGACAAGATTGAGCAAGCCTTTACTTTAATAAATTTTGCCACCTCTGTAATGGCACTGGAGTGAAGCCATGGATTCGGTCGTCTTCATACTGCTGCTCATAAACACCTTTACCATCTGACAAATGCATTGGTTCTAAATGACTTCATACTGTGGCTAGCCCATTGGGCTTATAGTTCCGGACTAATAAAAACTCAATAAAATGATGTCAACTCAAGACTCATTTCCTTCCCTGTTCAAGTTAGGGTGGGATAATTTTAAGTCTATATGAACTAAGATGGTCTTGTTTTATTCTTGCTTTAAAGAATCCTCTGGAATAGATACCCAGATATGCTATCAGCAAACTTAAGGATGATGTTTCATTCTCAACCTCTAGTTTTAAGGCTTTTCCCTCTCTCTTCTTAGCCTTTTGCTCTGAGATCCTTTGGGAGCATAATAATGTGCAACTATGCTAACTATCCAAGAGCTTATACAAAAAGGTTTTATGTAAAATAAAATGTTTATTATAAAAATGAAAATAAAGATCAAAAGGGTATAAATTTAAAATTCCTATTAATAACTTATTTTTATTCAGACTTTATAACGCATATGTGCAAACATACTTTAAAAGTGGGAAAATTACTGAAAAATATTTTTTGGTGCTCTGCTTTGTTCTGTTAGTATTTCATGAGTGTGCTGGGGAGGCGGTGCATTACCGTCCTTCTCACTTTTAAGGACACTGTATATATTCTACTGGATGAATGTAGCGCAGCTTTAACCAAGAGTCTGTAATCAGACACTTAGGTTATTTCCCAATTTTCCATATCATGAACTTTGCAGCAAGGCTCTTTCCGTAATTAAATCTTTACACACATTATTAATTATATTCTTGGAATAAATTCTCAGAAATAGGAGACTTTGTAACAAAAAAGATATTTTGGCTCTAGCAAGGTGGAATTGGGATAAGGGCATAGTTTCTTGCTGCTTCTCGTGTGCCTTTGAGAACAGGGTACTCTGCAGCTAGGGGTTCCCTCAGAAGGGAATGAATGGTCACCTTAAGTGGTCACCACCCATGTGGTTATGTCTGTAAAAAAATATATATAAGTTGGAAAAGGGTGGTTGGCAAACAGGTAGACGGTGGGGATGGTGTAGACCCTGTGCCTATAACCAGATCACACAGCGGTGTTTTTTAGCTGGGGACAATTTTGGTCCCCAGGGGACATTTGGCAGTGCCTGGAGATAATTCTGATGGTCATGCCTGGAGGGGTTGCTATTGGCACCCACTGGGGGTGGGTCAAGGATGCCGTTACATGTTCAACTATGCACAGGACAGACCCACATAATAGTGAACTGGCCCCAAATATCAATATTGC